TTGATCTGGTAAACAGATCTTAATTTTTCTTATTAACATAGTGGCAGATGATAAAGTGTTTTTCAAAGAACTGTCATTTAGTGCATAAACTTTACAAGACATAAACTGGAACCAGTTTTTGTCAAAATAAGATAATTAATGTAAGATATTATAAGACATGAACATAAATATAGAGCATAACTCTGTCTAACTTTTCCATGATGTCAAAATTATTGTGAAAAACATTTACCAGGTTTTTACCTGACCCATTTCTAATATACAAGAAATACAAATTCCAGATATTTATCTACCTGATAATTAGGAAGAATATCATTAAATAATATATGGAAAAAGTGGAAATTACTTAGTTCTTTTTTAAAAAATATTCATGCTATTACTAATTTTTTAATTTACTAACACTTTTAAATTCATTCATTTTGTTTACACTTGAATTATGAGCAGCAATATGGAAAAGGAAGCAGCATCTTTGAGTTTTGTATCTCTTGATAAATGTAATGGCAATATGAATAATAAATCAATAATAGATAATAATAATAATAATAATAATAATAATAGCACTGTGATAACATATAAACTATAATTTAAAAAATTGTAAAGAGAAAATAACAAAATCATATAATAAAAAGGGAAAAATCTAGTTTATTTAAAGCTCTGCATTGAGTTTTAAATAAAATATTATTAGAAGGAATGAGTTTTGTAAATAGCATTAAAATAATACTTAGTAAGTATAATTAATACAAATGTAGAATACATAAAAGTGTTTTATCATTACTCATTCAATATCAATTGAGTCTATAAATATCAGATCATCATGATATGCAAATTCAATGATTAAGAATATATAGATGAAATTAATCAATCAAAATAAAGAATTGCAGAATAAAAGAAAAACAAAAAGTAAAAGTTATAATTACTATGCATAAGCAATTTTGAATAAAGAAAAATAATTGGAAAAGTTAAATAAAGCAAAAATAGAAATTAGATAGAAAACTCAAAACACATATTTACAAAAATAATACAGTAAAACCTATGTAAACCAGAATCACACTGTATATTGTACTGAATATTTTTTCTGCTTTGGAAAGGTTTTGCTGTACTATATATACGATCAATCTTTGTTTTATCATTTATTTGCCTCTAAAACTGGAGTTAAATTAAGGTTCAGCTAAACCTCAATATGAATTATGTAATTATAGTAATGGGTATCATACATGAGATTTAAAGTTATGTAATTTGATGGTAACAGTAGACAAATAGTATTTTAAAGTCCACATCAAATTAGATATAATACTAGATGTATACACTGTCAGACAGCATTAAAATTGCCATCTGATAGTGTATACATCTAGTATTACAATGGTAACAATGTCAATGCTTTGCAACATTGCTTTGAAAAATTGTACATTTAGCAATTCACAGTTAATAAAGGCTTTTCTGCTTAAAACTTATGGGCATGATAGGGTGAATGCTATTTTAGGAGAGTGTTATATTAATTTATGATTGTAGTGGATATTATGATTTGATAATGTAATTTAAAGATTGTGTGTTGTTATTTACTTATTACAGTACTTATAATTTACTTTTATGAATGTTATTATCAATCAGTCATAGTGTTTATATAGTAAACAACAACTTGATATATTAAGATCAGATAGGGTCCAGGTAGCATAACTGGAAGTGCACCTGTAGTTTGAATCCTGCTTCATGCCAATTCATCTCTTCAGTTATTCTAAATTTAAAATTAATTTAATTTAATTTTAATTGTTAAATTTATCAAGAGATGACAGCTTAACAGTCTACCTCTAGCCAAATTGATTTGTTATCTAATTTGTTACTAGCCTTAATATAGTCTGATAGATAATCTGGAAATCACTTGGTAATATCAATCATAGTATTTAAACAAATATAAATGTAATAAAAAAACACATTTATTCATATTTTTACTTTAATTATAAGTTTATTTCAATATAATATACCTTTGAATGACGAACGTTTCAATCGTCGGATAACATACATTGGATCCACATACAGATCCCTGGAGGCTAGGATACGGGACCACAAATATGATGTGTCGAAGCAGAAGTATAATACGGCTCTAGCACGGTATGCTACCGAGCCCGGGGTTTCCCCATGTTGGGATGAGGCTACTCTTTTACATAGGGCCTTTGACCGACACGACTTACGCTCGTTGGAGGCTATTGAGATTTATAGAGAAACCATAAAGGGAAGCTGCATTAACTCCGATTATATTCCGATTCCACAATCGTGGAAATATTATTTACATTGCCACAAGGCGCAACAATAATCGGAAGTTTAATTATTTTTAATCTTTCTGCTATGTATAAGAAATCAAAGCGTTTACATCACGCTAATTTTCACAACTATTTAATAATATTTAATGTATAGCAGTATTTACATAGCGCTAATTTTCACAACTATACAATAATAATTTATGTATAGCGTTATTTTAAAATAATTTTTTGTCTTGTAAGCGTAACGATTTTTATATCTTACGCATCGTTTAAATATTTAAAAGTTCGGAACACAGCTGTATTCGATTATTAGAATCCTTCAAAAGATAGAACTGTTTTTTAATGTTTCATCCTGAAGAGGGCCTCTAAAAGACGGCCGAAAACGTTAGAATATTAAAATCTTTTGACTGCTGGAAGTAGTATTGAGGTGTTAAGTGTTGTGTGTAATATAAGTCATATCAAAAATGAAGAAAATAATAATTCAACTGATCAAAAATCTTGACTGATATAAACAGTCTAATTCTGAATAATTTATTATATGATGGGATATTCACAGTTGTGATGGTTATAAAATAAATTAGCCTAGCAATGTATAATTAGTTGTGCTTATTGCTTTTTTTGAATATTAAGTATAATGACAGACTATGAAGTATTGAATGTAAGATAATTACAGTATAACTTGATTAATATGCATCTATGTCCTTAATTTAATCAAAATTATTCTTTTAATTACTATATCAGTGTATTTCTATTAATAGGACTTATCATACTGGTGTACAAGATTGCAGACTCACAGTTACACAGATTAAAATTGTTTTATTTTCAATTACCTGTAATAGTACCAGGTAATTGAAAATAAAACAATTTTAATCTGTGTAACTGTGAGTCTGCAATCTTGTACACCAGTATGATAAGTCCTATTAATAGAAATACACTGATATAGTGATTAAAAGAATACAGTATAACTTCTTCGTGCACACTGGGGTGTATAATAAACAAAAACGTACTTACTCGTGCCTCTAACCGGTGTGTAGAAATACAAAAATAAATAATTTTGTAAAAACAAATGTTTTCTGAACACCTTCCGTGTCCTTCTTCAGGTAAAACGGTTGGATTCCTTATTCTCGAAAATTGTCACGCAATTTTTTAAAAAGAGAAATTTGAACGATGTTTCAATTGCGCGATATCTATTGAGCATGCGTTGTATCTGTCGTGTTCCTTTTTTTTGATAATTACAGTATGTTTATCATACATTATCTGTAAGAGAAAATTTACACTATTTAAATTTTGTAATTTCTCATAATATACAGTCAAACCCTGTATGGCAATATTTAGTAGAACAAGAAAAACATAATATTAAAGTGAACGTTTTTAAAAAAGTAACTCTTTTTGTCATTTAATGTTGTCAGACTGCAAGTAGGGTTATTTCTACAAAGTTAGATAATGTTAGAACAGAAAACATGCATTTTAGTATCCTCTAGTACAAGATTTAAGTTATTTGATTGCACATTATTTTTACAGTATATATTAAACATCAAAATCCAAAATCAGTCAAAAGCTGAATCTTCCCAGGAAAAAATGAAGTAGATAAAACTAAAGTAATTCTGAAATGTAAATTCTTACAAATTATATAAGAATTCCTTAGTGTCTCAAATTACACTAATTCTAAAAGTAAAAAAAGACTTTTATGTACTAAAATACCAAAAACACACTAAATCTGGCAACCTGCTCTTGTCTGTACTGATAAAAGCACTATATTAAAACACATGTTGATTTCAAAAACAAAGCAATAAATTAAAATTACTTAAAACTTAATTTATTGCATTATCATCATTATAGAGAAAGGAAAATATTGTGTATTTTATGAATAAAAAAAATATTATAAAATGTATTGATAAACAGAGATTTATCACAGTAGACAATATAGTTTAATCAAGAGAAGTTTTACATTAAGCCAATACAACTTGCAAGGGGATCTAAATTTCTTATTGTGATATTGCTAATTGCTGTACTGAGATTTGACTGTATATGAATAAACTTGTGTTAATATTATGAATTATTTAATGTAAGTGTTGTATTTGAAATTTTACATTTTATGTATTATATTTTAGCATTATTTTAATATGAAATTATTATTATTTTTCTGTTATTTAATAAACTGTAACAATGATAAGTCTACAAGATTAGATACTCTGTATTAAATTATGTCATAGTTAAAAATAGATATTTCTAAAAGATACAAACATTTAGATTTCAGAAATGACTTTTTGCATATAAATGATATAATTGATACTAAAATAACGGTGATATACTGGATTTTAAATTATTTCTAATTTTTTTCAAGCAATTTAATTGAAAAATGTAATTTAAAATTCAAGTTTTGTTCTTAAGAAAAAGGAAAATGTAATTAAAATTAATTTGTAGATTGTACATTGATATAAATATTTGATATTTAGAAAATTTAAGAAGTATCTTATAAATGTTAATATTTTGTCTGTATATACAATTTTATAAATAAAGCAAATAAATAAGTCTTACAATCATACAAATAACATACAAAACTTTTAACATTAAAAACTTAAGGTTGTATAGCTTAAGTTTTTAAGGCTACTGTCTTGAAATATTGTTTTATAATTTAGATATATTGAGAATTTTAAGAAATCTCAAAAATAATTATTTTAAAATTAGTAGTTAGTATATCTTTAATGATATAGCAATTATTTATTATTTAACATTATTATTGTATAGGTAAAATCACAAATAGCACCATGAGAACAGGTTCTTTAGGTTCTAATTCTCGAACATCAACAAATACCCCAATGGAGGTAAAGCAAAGTAGATTGTCAGCATTAGGCAAACTTTTCAAGCCATGGAAATGGAAGAAAAAGAAAAATGACAAGTTTGAACAAACCTCAAAAAGTATGTACAAATTTTCTAATAATCCAATTTTCATCATCAATTTATTCCAAATAGTAATTATTTTGCGTGTTAAATATTTTAATAGCATTAGAGAAGAAATTTAATACGAGAGCTACAAAAGAAGAGCTTATTCAAAGAGGTGTTCTATTATCAGATGGAGATAAAATGAACTTTTCAATTAAAGGTAAAAAAATAAGTACATAGTTTTTAAAAATGATAATCTATTTACTATAAAATCTACTTTTAAATTTGATTCAGGTTAATATTAACTATTATACATAAAAGACTCCACAAAGTTTAATGATTCTTCTTCAAAACAATATTCTCTTTAAGTGTTTCTGAAGATGAATGCAAATCTGAAAGCTCTAGAACCAGCTAATTTATTATATTTATATTTACTATTTAAATATTTGTTTTATATTCCATTAAAAACAAATATTTTATTATTTGTTTTAATGTTTGTGCTATTTATTATTTGTAATTTATGTATACAAATAATAAAATAATTTATTATTTATATTCATAAAGTAAATTTCCTGGTACCAAAATTAATTGAATTTTATTTCTATACTAAACTAATACTAAACATCTGATTATAAATTCTACAAAATATTAAGCATTTGATTTGATTATCATTACAGAAAATAAATGAATAATTGACTTTTTGTAAACTGAAAAATTATTACTTTAGAGCTATACATCAACCAAAGCTGAATATTATCAGGCTATATATCAACCAAAGCCCAATAATATTCAGCTTTGGTTGATGTTTAGCTTTAAACATATCGGGTGTAGTAAGGATGTTTGATCATTACTTTAGTTTTGAAACAAATATTTTTATGTTTTCTATGGTTTATCATTACAATCTAAAACAAAAAGATAGACCAAGAAGCTATAAAATGAGAAATTTTACTTAAAAACTGTATAAAATTTGAGAAAGAATGCTCTGTCTCTTTCAACTTCAGAGGTAATTAAAGAACATCATGGCATTACTTAAAACTGGATAAGGCTGTTTTCGTTATTACGCATCAGTTATATAATTATAAGTTACCTATACATATCAAATGCATTTTGCCAAAGTGACAATGCTTCAGCCTATTCAGTGACAATTACACAATTCTGTCTGCTTGCAGTGTATTATATTTTACAGTTCTATCCCAACATACATCAATGTTAATGCCGTATTTAAATTAATATTGTTTATATTTTTCTTATTTATTATTGCAAAATGTTCTTTAATTTTTCTTTTAATATTTTTTTTCCTGAAACAAAATTTTTATTTTATCTGTATTAATGTTACAATTTGTTTCATTACAGTGTAAAAGCATGGTGGCATCATAATATAAATTTCATACAGTTTTTAATAAAAGTAATTTTGACCCCACTTTTATTACTTTTATTAGAAGTTTTTTGTTCGGTTATTAATTTTCAAGACTTTATTTTGAATTTTTATTAAGATATCTCAAAGAAATCTTCAGAAAGCAAAAACTCTTTAAATTTGAAAAATTAAAAAAGTAATATCTTAGACTATAAAATTATTTTATTGAATTATTTTTATAATTTAAAATTTTATTAATTCAAAATTACTTTACTGCATTGAATAAATTAAAAAAAAAAATTTTTGATTTACTTCTCTTCCAAATCTTTCTCTATCAAGTGTGTTTAATTTAATTAGCTGTGAATCTTAGATTATTTATGAATATTCAAACGTTAATAAAGTTATATGAATGATTATTATCATCTATTAAAAAGAATTATTAAATAAGTAATTTGAAAAATCCAGATATTATAAAGATTGTACAATAATTTTTGTTTAGAATTCTTAGATATTTGATTTTCACTTTTCAAAAGGAAACTAAATAAAAAAAAATCAATGTTATAAGGAATATTCAAAAAATAAAATGCTGGTAACATTAGTATCAATGTTTTACTTTTTTATTTATTATTATTTTACAATATTTTAGTGAATTTACAGATTAGTGAAAAGTTAGATGGCAGACTTCAGAAGAAATTCTGATTAAATTACAAAGGAAGAACTTTTATTTTTATAAAGGAACAACTAATTATATTTTTCTAAAACTTAGTTGGTTCTAATGTTTGATTTGTTGACAATTGGTTGCATAGTCTTACCAATTTATTAGATTATTTTGAATAATATTGATCAATAGAGTAATATTCTAGATATTTTGATATATTAAGTATGGTTATTCTTTTTATGTGAATAATTTTGAGAGGTGACTATTATTATCTTTGAAATTTTAATTAGTGCTGTACCTGTAATAATTTCAACAATGTTATCATTGCTTAAATATGAAAACCTTGTTTTCTGATTATAGTTGTTCATTCGCTAATATCATCTGCAAAGTCTACTGGTTTTCTCAATAAACTTTATGATGATTAAATAATTTATTTTCATTGCATTATTTCACTTTAGACTATACTGTATTTTACAAAATATTTATTTATTTAAATATCTGTTATGATCTGTTTTAGGTACAAAATATAAGAAACTTTCTCATATGTCTTTAATGATTCAAACATTTCTTGACTTGTTAGTTGATCAATAAAAATCACATTAGCAAAAGAGAAAATTATGTTAATATACTGGACAATTTTCTTTCTAATAAATAGTCATTATCCAATAATAAAATAATTTTTCCCAATTTTTATTTCATAGATGATAATTCATATACAAAATAAATTTAAGATACCAGACTTTTTCAAAGAGTATTTGGTTTAAGCTTAAATAAAGCAGATCAAATCTGGATACTTTCTTTTGAAAATAATTAATGATGATTTCTTCCCTTTACAGGTGTTAAATTGTTACGCATTTGATTCATACTAAGCTCCTTTTCCTCTTACAATGCTTGTGTTTTCAATATAAATGTATTACAATATTTTAATTAGTTCTATCAACTTTGCAAACTTGGTCTGGTTATAGTTCTTTAATATTGAATTAACTTTTAATTGTTGATATGTAATATATGTTGAATATATCAACAGATAATTTCTTATTAGTTGACATCAACTATTGTTTCACGTCGTATTTTGATGTGAGAGAAAATGCTTAATATTTTTTATTTGAGACAAAATAAATTAGAGTTGGATATTTGGTTATGCTCTGCCTCTAATTCTTGAACAATGGAAAAATGCTGCATCAAATTGGTTTTCAGTTTTATAAATTTTGTTATAAAATTCTGCTTTAGATTATTTTGCATTATATAATCTGTGGTGATAAAAAAAATTATTTACATAAGAATAAAACAGATATTAATTAGTTATTGGATTATACATTACATTTTCTTACATGAAATGTTTCAATCCTCTTATAAGAAATAAATGTACAAATATAAAATATGATAATAATTATATTATTTTTTTTACTGTTTAAAATATTTATTCAGTAAATAATACTAAAATAATATAGAACATAATTTATTAATGAATTTATTAATGAAATGTAAATTTTCATTTAATGAATTAAATGAAAATTTACATTTCAATAAAGCAATATTATTTTAAAGTAATTAATAATAATAAATCTAAATAATGAAAGTCTTTATGTTTATTTTTATTATGGAAATTAGATAAGCACTAGATTTAGAATGATGATTATTTTTTAGTTTTAGGAAAATGACATTATACTAATAACTAATAAAATGAATACAGTTAATAATATACAGTGGATTCTCGATACAGCAAACACTCTAAGTGAGCCAAATCATTTGCTCTGTCAGGAGTTTTGTGTATATAAAGAATGGCAAGAACCAACAAATTTGTTTACTATATAGAAAGTTCACTATATTGGTTGGTTGCTATATAAAGAATCCATTGTAGGTTAATGTTCTGCACTTAAACATAAAAATACTTAATCTAGCATACAGTAGTTTTTCTATATTGCCATATGAGAATGCTAGTTAATGATATTTACCTTTTAATTCTAGAAAATGATCTTAAGTGGAAAATTAATATAGAGAAGTTTGTTTATCTATACAGATATATGATTATTTATTGCATTAAATACAGATACAAATAAAACTTAATAAAGCTTAGTACAGTAAATGAAAATTTAATAATGCCATTTTTTAAAATACCTTTTAGAATTTATTTATTCAGCTTTCTATATTGCAATATTTTAACACATAATACTTAATAAAATAAACCATTAAAAAAAATTTAAAATTATATCATAATGTTATATTTTAACATTTGACAATACACTGGATTTAACTAGAAAAAATGCTTTTAATGGCTTATGAAAAGTAGAAAATTAACATAACAACAATAATTTACAAAATTGAAATGTTCTACTGTTTTCAAGCTATAATTATATGTTCATCTTCAGGAACTTAATTGAAAAAATATTCTGTTGTCTTGGATGCAAGATAGGCCAATATACAATTAACTTAGCATTATGTTACATCTTCATCTTTTTTGTAAAGTAAATATAATTTATATGTAATAAAATTCAATATATCATAAAGACATTACTAAAATTAAGCATTATTAATACATTACTGATATACAAATTAAGAATTTTTTTCTTATTATAAGTAATATCATTAATTTTAAAACATACTATTTGATTATTTAATAATCAAATAGTATGTTTTATATTATATTTGTATTATATTATACAAATTCTTACTTATTAATGTAATTTATATCTTTTTATATATTATGCATTTTCCAGTTTTTCTCTAATATGTGTAACATGTTTTTACTTTTTCTCATTCATTGATTTCTCATTATTTTTCCTGATAATTTTCACTGTTAAAAAACAATGAAGGTTATACGCTTCCTTATAACATTACATTACTTCATTACTTGATGATTATTAGACCTTGAATATGACATTACCTTGAAAATTTTTATTGCTTATCATATACAGCTGAACCTATCTATCTCAAACATGTTTATCTTGAAATTTATTTTTTCCCTGCATATTCAGCCTAAATTTAATATATTTTTGATATTTAGTTCAAATAATTTTTTCCCATAACCTCTATATATCAAATTATGGGCCAAAGTGTCAATTACAAATTCAAAGCTCAGCAACTACATTTTGATAGCATAAATTGTAATTTAGAAACATCTCTTTCAAAACAGTATACAGTTGCATTTAACACTGCTTTTCCCCAATTGACTATAAGTTTAGCTTGCATCTTATTGGTTGAAGAAAGTCTGCTATCAGAAACTATTATTGGCAGACTATTTCTGTTAGATATATCAAAATTGTATTATTTATACTTAATACAGGTATTTACTGTATCTGCTGCTGCATTAATAAAATATCATACCTCCAATCAAACCTATTACTTTTTACTGTGTAGGAACCTCTTTTCTTGAATTTTTTTTATTCCTGTGAGATTTGAGATAGACAGGTATAACTGTACAGGTATACCTCGCCTTACGTCGGTAATTGGTTCCGGGAAAACGACTTAAGTCGAAAAACGACGTAAGTCGAATTTACTTGTCTCCGAATCTACTTGTCACTAGGCTAAACCATAAATTACTATTCCCAGTTCTGTATTTTATTTATTAATGCATTTTTAATAATATATGGTTAATAAGAATCTATTTTAAGCTTACAAACAAATAAATTTCAGTTTTTAATAGAGTACAGAAAAAAGTAATCTAAATTTACGAATGCACGTACTGTTCTGTAAATACAGTACATACTTGTAAATGTATATATTTTAATATGATTTTATGTGTTTTAAACGCTTTTCTAGTGATATTACGACTTCAATATTTGTGGCGGACGGATGTAAAGTCGAATAAAATGACTTAAACTTGATTTTTATTTTTCCGTATACTTTTTTGACAAACGACATATAATCGGGAACGACGTAACTCGAAACGACGTAAGTCGAGGTATACCTGTATATACCATATATAGTTGTTTCCTATAATAAATAATGAAAATTATTTTCCTATAATAAATAATGAAAATTATTATTTTCATTATTTATTTTAGGAAGTTTGGAAATGCCATTAGAATACAAATATTGTATTTTAATAATATTAGTTTATAATAAGTATTATAATAAGTTATTGAAGATTATTTAAAACCTTTAAATAAATTTATCATAAAATTGGATAAAATAGAAATCATAATGTAATATGATTATTAGAAAAGGTACAATATCATACGAGACAGGAATATAATCTTATAGGAAAAGTAGAAAGACGTAAGAATTCAGTAAAGATATATAGCGCACTTGCATATAAAAATAATTATAAAAGATAGTACTGAGAGACCAGAAGAGAGAAATTTGATATTTTTTAAAGATATGCCTAATAATGCATAAGAGACAGTAAAATAATATGCTGTTAGTTATACTAAGTAGGAAGGTAGAGTAATTGCTTAATAACTATTAAAATTTTATTTTAACCATAAATTAACATATATTTGAATTAAACTCTGGAATACATTACATAATCGGTAACACATTTCAAGTTTACAAATTATTAAAATAATTAAAAGATTGTGATTTACCTATAGCATAAACTCATGGATACATTACTGTATTTACTTGAATATAAGATACTATCAAAGCTAAGATGCACTTTGATTTCTACTTTCTTACTGATAAATTTTTTTCTAAATAGACAACTTGAGACAAGTTTATTTTAACAGAATCAGTATTTGTTGCACAGTAAAATTATATACCACTGTATTGAAGTCAGAAACCACTTCACTTTCCATGTTAGGTTCTTCTGAATCAACACTGAATTTAATGCTCAAGTTTTTCCATGTGCAGTCATTCTCACTGCCATTTAAAACATTTGAAATGCAACATGTCTTGAGTGTGGCACAACTTTTATAATGATGTATTACATCAAATCTAAGATGCACACTATTTTCAGAGATATTTAACTTGAAAAAAGCATGTTTTTACATTTGAGTAAATACAGTAATTTTAATTAGCTCAATTCTTATGTGGTATTTCCAATAGCTATAAATATTTGATTCAATTATCTGAATTATAAGAGTATTATATTGATAAACTAGGCATTAATGGTTACATTCATTTCTTAATTTGTAAATATTTACATGAAATATATAAAATTAATAGGCATTACTTTTGCACATGCAATATACTTTAAGTAACTGCAACTCTATTACTTTAAGTATTAAATAGCAATAAATATCAATATGAATTACTTAATTAACATGGGCTATTAATCAATTCATTCATATATATACATATATAGTATTAAATGGTATTGTTGTTCTATTTATTTAGTAATTGTAAAAGTTAGATGAGATAGAAGACAAGGGTTTAAGCAAAATTAATAAATAATTGTAAGATTAGATTATGCATGATGCTTTTTTCATTTTGAATTTTGAATAAAAGAGATGTCTGACATAGTCTAATTTTAGAATCAAAACTTTTGATTCTAAAAACTGTAAAGTTAAATTTTTCTTAAATTTAAAGATTTTCATTCATAAGAATTTGTATTTCTTAATTCCACTGTTTATTTTTTCAAGTGCTTGACAAATTACAAATATCAATAAGTCTCAATAATATCTGAAAATAAGATAACAGATTGTAAAAAATGCTTCCTCTTAAACTTTTAAAATTTAGTTCAATGCAATATTTTTCTGGTATTTTTGAAACCGTGTCAGTAATTTATTTCAATTCAAACACAAATTATTTATCATATTCATACAGACACTTGGCAAATCACAGAATCAACTGAATAAAATTTAATTCTGTGATTTGCCAAGTGTCTGTATGAATACGATAAATAATTTGTGTTTGAATTGCAATATTTTTTACTTCAAATAATAAAAAAAAATAAAGTTAATAAAATAAATACAAATGAAATAATATTTTTAAATTAAAACTGATTTTTTTTATTCTTGCTAGTAAAAATGAGAAGCTTAGAAATTTTAATGTTTCTATTGCTTTATAATTCTAGAAACAAGACAGATTTTTCTTCAGTATAATAAAATTTCCTTTATATTTTAATTATTTCTTTTTGTTTGATTTAATGAATTGACCAGAATACACTTAATCAATTAAAAACAAAGATGATCTGGCAGATGAATGTGTATGCATTGTTTCTACTTTGCTAGATTGTGGGTTCAAATTCTGATTTGGGTATAGGTGTTTGTATTGAAAATTATTTTTTGGGAGTGCTTTAAATTTGCTAAAATAAGTTTTTGCTGCCTGTGACAATTAAAATTAAAAAATAAAGCAAGCGTCTATTTTTAATGAACTGTCTTCTCCTTATGTTCACATTAATTTAAAAACAATAGTAAATTATTAGATTGTAATTATTGTATTACTACTTTGTCAAAGAAAATAGATGTATAGATCAGTGACTGTTATATTAATTAAATATTGCTATTATTATTAATTAGATAATTTCAAATAAAAGAACAAAATGCTCTATTTTTATATCTTTACATCACTTTAAATTCTATTTTATTTTTCAAGAAAAATAGGATAAAGAATTTAGTTAATACATCACATTTAATATTACATATAATAAGACAGAATATTTATTTTATGTAATATACTTGCATGAAATATTTCCCTATTACTAATTAATATGATGCTTTAGAGCAGAAAACATTAAGAGAGCATTTGAATGAATCAGATTGAATTTGTATCCTGTTTACAAATTCTCATAATTAAACATATTTTAGATTTCATTTAAACTCAAATGTTAGGATTAAATACATGTTTTAATTGATTGTATATAAAAATTAAATCATATAAATTTTTAATATTAATTAAATTTAATAATTAACTACAATTATTTATTCAATAATAATTTATCTTCTTATAGTTTGATAACATTATTTAAATTTGATTTCCAGCAGTTTTTGTTTGTTAATTTCCCTTTTTATACTGAATGGCATTTTTTGTATTGATAAATACGAATTAATAATAATTTTTTTATTAATCATAAATAAAAATTTTAAATTGTATATTTTACTTTACTAAGATATAAATATACATCAATTATTCTTATTATATTTAATAGTAATAATGTATATAAGAGTAAATTTGTCTGTCAACAAACAATCAATTCCTAGTTACTTATTGAAACACAAATAAATTGATTGACCCTTGACAGTTGGGTTGGGAATTACTGGTCTACATAAAATGTAATCTTTGTACATGAGATGGAATATTCTTATATATTAAAAAGTATTTTTTTTTTTAATTTCATATTAGTAAACATGTTCTAAATTTTTTATTTTTTCTTAATTTAAAATATTTTGAATTTTATTATAAAAATAAAAATAAATAAAGAACACAGTATTTTATTTTCAGGTTAGTATTTTAAAAAAACAATTCTATTTCTTTGCAATACATTTTTAGAAAAATTCATTGATAAATTATAATAAATTCTAAGTAGATTACATATTTATACTAAATAAATCTAAAGAATCATCTTATTTTTTTCAAATTTCTTCAAATATATTTTAATTAGAACCTTATTCAAAGCAGATGCTTTAGTTTTCCTATTATTGGAGTCATTATGAAAAATGTTATTTATATATAGAACTTCTTACAGATATGTTTTAAATGGTAGATATATAAATAACTATTTTACTATTGTTATTAAAATCTTAGCATAAACAAATATATTCTACTAAAAGAAATAAATGATCACTTATAAATGAAATTTAATGTTAAAAATATAAATTATGTACATCATCATATAAACCTACTTAACTCTACCTGTCTTCCTATAGATGATTGCCATGTAACTGTTTCTAATCAATTCTCTCTCTGAATAGATTTTAATAAAGTATACCAATCACTGCTCTTATATTAGCCATTTCTAACATCTGACTCATCCATCTATAAATAGCAATCTCAGCCTGTCTGATGTGCTTATCCTTCTGTTCTTTAGTTTACTTGTAACTTAACTACAAGTCATATTATCATAACTTGGCTACATTTCTCTTTCTACTTGCATTTCTAAAGATTTTGTTTTTTATATTTTTATTTACAAGATTCTTATGATTCATGGATATGTTGGAATGTTCTACAGATTCCAGTGATTTAAACCATGTTCCTCAAGTAAATGGAAAGGTAGCTATTGATGAGATGCCTGCTGAACCTACATCAAATAATTCATTTATTTCTTCAACACAGCAAGAAATGTTATGTTACAGTATAGGTGAGTAATCTAAACATTTTATTTTTTTTATTAAAGAATGAATCAATCTGAAAAAATTTACAAATATATTTGATTAAACTTAAACATTTGTTAAGATATTATAACAACGTATATTGCTGATAGTTTTATATTTATGCTGAAAGTTTAGATCTGTTTAGTGACATTATTACATTCAAATGATATTAGTATTATTATTGTAATGTTTACAAATACTTTATTTAATTTAGTATAATTTGCTCATGTAATGAAGTTATTTATAATTCATATGGAATATAATCTCTATGAAAAGAGTAATTAAATTTTGATTTGGTTTATTATTGAAACATTAAGTTTTGGAAACAAATATTTACATAAATAAGTATGTAAAAAAATTATTTACTTTATTATTTATTACAAAAATTTTATAAGGTTATGTTTAATGGGGCAAGAAATTATATTCTGTGGAAATGACAAATTACTCAAAATAATAATAAATTTAATCTGTCAAATTACCATAATTTTCTGCCTATATGGCATGTAACCAGCATAAGTTTTTGTTGACAACAAAATGTTTGTCCTTATATAATTTACACAAGTTTACATCATAATTTACTGGCTTTTTGGCTTTTCAGTAATGAAATAATGAAATTTGTAAGGATATTTAAGAATTAAAAAAAAAAGGTACAGGTAACACCCGTATAACACGGTAGTTATGTTCCAAAAAATTGCCGTGTTATGCAAATCCGTGTTATACTAAACAAAGAACTAATACGAAAAGGAGGGTTAGGTTCCAAAAATTAAAAAACATGCTAGTATATTTTCATAATTAAGATAAATATCTTCATTAAAATTTTTTTAAGTGAGACATAATATAAATTAATATAAATTAAACAATGTTTTCTTCGTTATCACTAAAAACACTATTAATTAACCGAGAGCATTTTCTTTTTGGCAAGTTATCCTTATCCTCTGAACATTTTTCTGCATTATCTTCAGATCCATGCTTTACCTTTTGCAAAATGTATGTAATTTTAGATTGCTTGCTTCTAGTTAAAAGGTCTTTATAAATTTTCTTATATGGTGCTAAGCACTTATGAAGAATAAAGCAAGTATGGAATAAGGGAAAAACATTCGGCAACATCAGAAGCAGAAGCGTCGTGATCTAGCAACATTGAAACAAGTTTCGAGAAGGACCACATGTATTGACAGAAGGCGAGAAGAGAAAATTTACATACTTAAGTACTAATAGTTTATGAAAATTATTATTTTCATGAACTATTATTACTTAAGTATGTAAAAATTTATTACATTTCGTGTTGCACGAGGGTTTTACCAAATTCTCGAACCGTGTCAGAGTGAATCCGTGCTATAAAAGTACTGTGTTATACGGGAGATGGTACCAATTCTCAAACCATGTTAGAGTGAATCCGTGCTATAGAAATGCCGTGTTATACGGGGTTACCTGTACTCTCAAATGTGGGAAAGAAATTAAACAATATGTTTTAAAGTGGTACAATAAAACTTAAAATCCAGAATTATGAAATAATCAGTTCTTGATTTCAATCTTTCAACTTATGACAGCTGAAATTGGCTTATTAAGAAAATTATTTTTGAGTCCAAACAATCACTTGCACTTGCTAAAAGCATAGTATAATTATTAAATTTTGTTAAATGTAATATTGTAATGAACAATAAATATACATTTTATAACAATAATAGCCATATTTGTATTTAAATAATACTTAGGTTTGTGCCATTAGTATACAAAAGTCAAAAACAAAACTGTCTGCCAAGTTGCTTTGTCTAGGAACATGGTTATCTTCCTTGCATTTTCAATAATCTTTGTGTTAATAAAATATTATAATTAAGTAACAAGTTGTGAAAAATATCCAAAAATCTTACAGTTTTGTATGTTTTCATCTTACCAAAAGACTTGCATCAGCATCAGAAACTTATATTCAAAATTCATGTTGAAACATATAGTGAAGTTTGAATAAATGTTTCTGATATTGTTTCTTTTGGTGAGATGAAAGCATAAGAAATCCACTATATATATATTCTTTGTAGCTTATTACTTGTAAAAGTTACTTATCCATTTTGAAGAAATAACATAATTAAATTGCCCCTTTATAAGAACTTCATCTACTGGAACAAATATGAACAATGATGATGAAATGTCTTGTCGTATCAAGAAGACTGAAAGTCTTATTGATATGATAAGATATCAGACTCAGATGCTATTAATTGTTATTATTTATGCTAAAGCATCTAAAGCTAATATTAAAATGTACTTTATACGAAGGTCATCGTGGAGATGTGTAATGGGGAACAACAAACATGTAAATAATACTATATTCCATTCATAAGTAGAAGTGAATGGGTCTGTAGACATCTTTGTTTTATGCATCTACCTGATGCATAAACAAGACATTTTATCATTTCAAGAAGATTTCCAAATATAATAAAAAGTAAATAGATTTTATAGACATTTTTTAATGTTATGGAAAAATTATTATATATATTAAATGCATTGGTGTATGATTCACACTATCAAAGGCAGAAAGTTTTTAACACAAAATCCAGAGGCAGGAAATTATGTTAATTAATATAGAAAATTCAGAATGATTTGGTTTTACTATATTGATTTTAATTTTGCTAAGTTTTTAAATTTCTCTAAATTTCATTAAAACCTTATTTCATTTTTTTTAAAATGCAGTGTTTATTTAAAATTCGTTTTGTTTTTGAAACTTTGTTAAAACTATGTGGTTAAAATAATTGCTATTTAGAAATGTAATAAAATTACTTTTATTATAATTTTCAATATTTTTGAAAAGTTAATTTTGCAATTTAAAATTATATGATATTTGTCTTTAATTTTATTTAAATTTGAAACAATCAATTTACAAAAAGAAGACAATAAAATGTATAAATGTTGATTAATAAAAAAGCTCCCAATTGTAAAACTATTAGAATTTTATTTTACTTTATTACAAAATTCAGTACGAATTCTTTGTGGATAAAAATGAATTATAAAAATGATTATTTTGATTTTTTAAAAATTATTTTTGTTGGAATTAATCATTGGATGGTTAAAGATAATGAAATGCTCTCTTAGTGCTTGCAGTATAGAAAAAGTGATAAAATTATAAATAAATATAAGCTAAATTATCATAAATAAAAATAAAATAAAGTCAATTCTTATCACTTTTTTATTTTTTTATATTAATTTCTAACCATTGCCATTTTCTTTCTTTATTTTAAATACTTTTTGTAATGAATAAAATTAAGTAATTTTATGCCAAATTAAGTGCAGTTGCTACATTTTAGTAAATTTTATGATTGAAATTAATCATTAAATTTACTACCAGTTGACAATTAATGAATAATGGATTATTTAATGATTAGAATTAGCCATGAAGTGTGTGATGTTGATGTGATTCATTGCATTTGTGCTGTGATTTATATTTGCTTGTTACATTTTTGATAAATATGTAACATATATTGTTCCTTAGTTTATGAACATAATTCAACCTGGAATATTTTCTAAAGTCATTTTATTCTAAAGCCAGCTTTACAAATATACATACATCTTAGCAAAAAGTGCTGTGTGTAAATTACATAACAATGGACATAATATCAATAAAAGCTTAATATTAAGTTTAGTATATGGTGTTGAATATTGAATTATCTTGACTAAAATGTACCCTACACATCAATGAACATTCCGTAACATTTACAGCAATATATCAAGTGTCATAATACAAAACATAGCTCAGTGGTTCATTTGGTAAATGTAAATTACTTTCACTTACAAATAGAAATTTCTGGTTAAACTGATAAATTGAGAGACTAATTTTTTCTAAAACAGTTTTTGTCTTTAAAAATTCATAATTTGAGGATTACTTTTATATATTTTTAAAATCAATTATATATAATATAATATAATTGATTATATCGCTATCTAAAACTAAAAATACATTGGAAATATTTATGCATTGCGTGTTCTTATTATTACTGTTTATAGTGATGTCAGGAATCGTTAACATTGATGTAAAATTTCATTACGATCAACCGCTTTNATATAATGTGAAATTAAATGAGAACATTATATTATTATATTAAATAATATATATATATATATATATATAAAATATTGAATGAGAACATTTTTTAGTATTAATTGGAGTTCAGTTTAAAATTTAATTATGATTCTTGTTGACAAAATTATTTTTTATTAATTAAAAAAAGCACTCATGTACGCTACTTGCAATTGTTCTTTATTTTGCTGACACGTTCAGATTCTTATCGTGTTTTACTCTTGATGTAACAAAATATTGGCACTTGTTAACTATTTATTTTGTTAACTTGTTAACAAATTAAATACTTAAATTTAATTTGTTAACTTATAATCTCTTTTATCAAGTTTGATAAATTGATTCTATTTTATGGAAAAAATGAAATATTTTGGAATTTTACTAACAGAATTAAAAAGGATAAGGAAAAATAAATTATTTTATATATATTAATTGTCTCTATGGAAGAACCATAAGTCTGAAATTTCAAATATATAAACCACATCAGCTTGGAGTTAATATGCAAATATATGTGTAAATATTGTAGGATTTTTCAGCAAGTTTTAAAGCTAAAAGTTACATAGAAATAGAAACTAAAAGTTTATATTTATTTATTATATGATTTGGAGTGGTATTAGTAGTTAAAGTCTCAAACATTTTAATAATTAAAGTTAATTTTTAATTTAATTAATAATTTCAGAAATACCATAAAGAAGAGAAACTGCTCTTCAGTTGATTGTTTCATCTACACATTTTAAAACTATTAATTAAAAATTTAATTCTGGTCATCAAACTATAAAATTAATTTTTTTTTTAGAATAAATTGTATTTATATGTTTGGTTTATAATGTTGGACTATTTTAATTCATAGTATTTTAAATATTCATTTTTTTCCATTTTTATTTTATGTTATACTTTATATAAATTTGTCTAGAGTAAAAATGTTTT